AAAGAGCCGTCAGCCCCCCCGTCCTGCCCGGGCCAGCGCTGCCGTGCAGCTGGTCCTGCCAGCTCCAGAGATACTCTCCATTTGGTAGCTAGCAGGAGGCCAAACAGGACATTTCTGGAAAGCCAGTTCATTTTCTGGATTGGACAAATCCCTTTTCAAACTTCAAAGCCTGCATTAAATGGTCCCTCTCCATGCTGCACTATTTTTGTAAAATACAGGTTCTGAAACAGCAGGGAGAAGAGAAGGCCCTTTTAAAGTTCTTGAGAGTCTAGAGTACTCCAGAACATGTGTCTACACATAGTGTCCAATTCAAGACATTTTCACTTTAATGGAGCAGTCCAAAGGGGGGAAAAAAGGAAAAAAAAAAAAACCCAACAATGGCAATTGTTCTTGTAAAGCCATCTCTGGAAATGGGAATATAAAGCTCTGTGTGACAGAGGGGTAAATTAGGGTAAACTCAGAACCTGTCAGACAGCTGGCCAGCACCTTGGCATCGTATCTGAACTGTTAACCATGCCTGACTGTGGGTTCTAGAATGGGCTACTAGCAAGGCAAACAGCAAGCCCATCGGCTTCAAACACCAGGCTGAATGCCAGCTGGCCATCACAGGTCAGCAAGATCTGTCAAAGTGGCCTTGACTTCTAGCTTCTCTCTTTCCAACACAGGAAGCAAAGTAACTCACTTTCTGTTCTGGTAGAGCTCCAGCCCCGTCAGCAGATACACGGACACCTTGCGGAACAGGCTGTAGTCCTCGTGCCATCGCTGTTGAGGAGCAGCAAGAGGAGAGCATCAGCCTCCCCCTTCCCGCCCACGCCTTCCACAGCCCTTCGCAACGCCGGCGCGTCTCGCGTTTGACCCTTTCGAGGGTTTCAACGTGTCTAAGTGAGCAACACATAAATCGGTGTAGCTGGACCCTAAAGTCCCTTCCAACCTGGCATTCTATGGCTCTGTGACCTCCACAGACACTCCCTGAAGCTGAGGAGATTCACGGTGTATTTGTCCTCCCTCTCAGCACCCTTCTGCAGAGCAGACAGTCTTTGGACAGCATGGAAGCTGCCGACAGGCGTGCCAATGACCGCGGTGTTTGGTGTTGCGGCTCCGCACCGCGACAGCACAAGGGACCTGGGGCAGCCCTCCGGCCCCTTACCTTGTACTCCTCCATATCGACATCGTCAGGACCAATTTCTCTCAGCTTTGCTCGTGCGACCTTCATAATGCTGATTGATCTGCTCCGTGTAAGCAGAGACAAGAGTAAAATCAGAATGCAAATCAGGTTGCTTCCAGGCGAGAAAAACCTCCTCCCGGGCCCTGCGGCACAAACCTTTCGTCGTAGCTGAGGTTCCTGTCCGCAAACTGCTCGAGCAGGGTCCGTTCCACCACCTGCTGGGGCGCGTTGTTCTGCAGGAAGTAAACGAGGACGTGCTGCAGGCGGGCGTCGTTCTGGGGCGTGGGGGTCTCCTTGGCCAGCAGGTAGAGCCGGGAGTACTCCTCGTGGAACGCCTGCCAACGACACGCGGGCGCTGACACCTCCGCCCCTGCCTGCGGAACGCCGCGCCTGCGCCGAGCCGGCACCAACGGGGTCCCCGTTCCAATCCCTCCTGGACTGAAAAGCACCGAGCTGTCTGAACACCCTTCAGAGAGGGGGCCATGTGGCCACTGTAATTTCGGTCATGCTCTTGCAAGTGCCAAGGCTGTAAAAACCGATTGTACCTGTAGCAAGTGTGTCTTGTGATTCCTACTCTGTAGATTAGCTTCAGGAATGGTTTCTCCCATGCAGCAGTTTTACTTAAATCTACCTGCCTGTACAATCTAACCCCAGCTTCAACATTCAGCAGTGCTTGCGCCGTCAAATCCCTCAGTTCAACACACACGTTTCTGGAGGACACATTTTACAAGAGAGGTCACCACCAGTGTGTGTATTCAGGGTCAAAAATAAGTTTCAGGGGTGCTGTTTTGTTTTCTGATGAAGCCGTAAGGCATGCAAAAAAAAAAGTCTACTTTTTGTTATCCAGATTGAGAGGACTTCCGACTCTGACAGAATAGGCAGGATAGTGAAAAATTAAAAAGGAAAAAAAGGTGGTTGTTTCTGCTGGGGATAGGAGTTTCTTACAAGCTCTAAAAATTGCTTAGAGCTCAGGGATACATTGTCTCAACAAGAGAGCAGAGACAGAAATGCAGGACAGAAAGGCCACTAACTGGAAGAAACTGCACAGGTTGCTCCCTCACTTTCGCAACAGGTCAGGGCAGCACAGATCCCACATTCTGTGAGGAGCAACCCTGGTGCTGCTGGATTTGCAAACGACGAGATACCTTAACGAGCCCTGCTTCAGACCCGTCCCGATCAAAGGTCTGGCGGGCTTTGGCAATAGCCAGGATGACACCTTGCATGGCTGGACTCAGCATCGCCTACCACGAGAGCAAGAAAAAACATACAGACAAGAACGAGGCACAGGGTCACAGACAGGGAGAGAAGAGAAGGCAATGGTGAAGAACAGGAAGAACTTTCCAAAGATAAGGTTTGGATGAAATCCTGTGAATCCAGAGCTGTGATTTACTTGTGTACTGCTTGCTCCATCTACCATGTGCACTGAACATGCAGGGGTTTGTTACGTGGTTAAAGCTCTAGGGGCTGGTCAGTCCAAGCCTTGCTGTTGTTAATTGAGCCAGTGAGAGCATCCATCGCCCCAGCCATGCTGGGATGAAACTGTGGCCCAGGCCCTGTGCAGCTAGGGCCAATTTTGACAGGTGTGCCAGGAAGGAGACTCGCAGGAGCACGGCACAGATGCGATGACTGAGCGCTGGTACAGAGCCGCTTCGCAAGCGTGCGCAGGGCTGTCTCCGTGCCAGGCCACCATCGTGCCCAACCCTGGGAAAGCTCAAAGCCAGCGAACTGCCCAGTTACAGGTTTGTGATGGGCAGTGCTGAAGCCCTGTGCTGGGACCTGTACCTCCTCGTTATATCCATCTGCATCGGATCTAACGGGAATCTTCCCCACGCTGGGGATTTCCACCTCAGAGACCTGGGAGCTACTTTGGGCAGCAGACTCTGCATCCTGAGCGTCCTGTGCTGGCTTTGCCTGAACCGTGAGGGCTGTTTCTCCTGGGTGGGCCTTCGTTGGCTCTACCTCCTTGGGCTGTGGCCAGGAAGAGAAAGAAGAAAGAGAGTAAGAGAAACCAACGCAAAATACAGGAAAGCAAAAGGGGACCGAGGTGAACACAGCACGGCTGGAGTTACATAGAAAAGGAAAACGCAAAGGTCTGTCAAGAAGAATCCTATGAAGAGAAGCGTGGGTGGCTGACTGGGCCAGGGCTTGGCTCGTACCTCGTAGAGAGCTGCCTCGACGCCGTTCTTCTCGTAGGCATCAGCGGTGTTGGCGATGGCCTTGGCGGTCTGCTCCTTGGCAATCAGGGCGTGCTCGGAGGACAGGGAGCGCACATGCTGCTCGCAGACGGACGACTGATCTGCCAGACAGAGGGGTGGTGTTGCTGAGCACAGGCTGGGAGACAACTTTTCCTCTCTCGTTCTGACGTGTTTTGTGGCTTGTCTGTGCAGGATCTACAGCAGCTGCAGTGGTCCCGGGGGTGAGGGCACGGCACTGTAAGCTTTGCATACCCCTTTTCAGCGGCACAGGCCATCAGGGATTGCCAGCTAGTGCTTTCCCACTCCAGAGAACAGCCCTCGAGCATATTCTACTTGATATTTATTTAAAAAAAGGCTGTAAGTGAAATGAGATTAGCCCATTATGATTAAATGAATGGAAAAGAGCATTGCTGGTGATGAGCCTGGAAGGATGCACGTGCAAAACCAGCAGAGCAGCCTTTCGTACTGCCAGGACAGTGCCTCTGCCAGCTGCCTTTGCTACTCAGCAACAATTTCTCCATGAGATGTGGAAGCTCCTGAGAGGCTCCCACATGGTGGGGTTTCTGAGCAGCTACCTGCCACTGGTTTCCACACGGTTTGTGAATTCAGACATGGTCTTACCTGGTCCCGATTCAGAAGAGAGGTCCTGTGATTCCGAAGCTGGCGAAGGCTCCATCTGAGGAATCTTGCAGGACTGCTCCTCCTCCCACTCCTCGGCCTCCTGCTCGAGGCGCCAGTTGTCCTCCTGGATGTAGTGCTGCAGCTCTGGGGGCAAGGCCTCAACCTCCTTCTGGAACCGTCCCACCTCCGAGCCGCCAGCCTCATCTGGAAGAAATGCGTTGTCACAGGGCACGGCCACGAGAGACAAAGCAAACGTGCAATACTGTGCCAAGCCACCATCAAATTGCCTGACAGATAAATTGCAACAAAACCCAACTTCCTACTGCCTTTGTAATTTAAGATGACTCCTCAGCAGAAGTGCAAAAATAAAGACAACTCTGCAGAGTTATCTGAAACAAACCCCAGTTTTATTCTACCACAGGAGGGCATTTCTCACAGAGAGATTCCGGAAGCAGTACCTGCTGATACAGAGACTCAGAAACTCATCTTTATTCCAGGGCTACAACTGGACAGAGAGCAGCATTTAAACTGCCAGCAGCAGAACAATCAGAGCTCAGCTGGAGACACCCCACCTGCCATGCTATGTGGCATATAGGTTGGGAACTGCCTCGATTTCACAGTGTAAGGGTCAGGCTGGGATTTACCAGCACTTCTTAGGTCTACTTCAGTGCTGAGTTTTAACAGAGCACAAAGCTCAGGTAGTACCAGCTTTGGAGATGTCAGAAAATGGATCAAAAGCAACCTGACATTTCTCCACACCAGGTATTTGTTAGGGACCGACTGTAAAGGCAAAACATTTTTAAAAAATAACAAAACAGGAGAAATAAACCCCCGTGAGTTCATTTCAGAAACAGAACTGTCATAGGAAGGCAAAGAACAACCTCCAGCCCCTCAGCAGCCATACTTAGCCATGAACAGAATGACAGTTCCCCATTGTTTCTTTCTAGTTACGACAGCAAAATGCTCCATGTGTGAAATTATTGGGTTCCTCCCAAGCTGCTTGCCACGGAGAGTGCCACGTGGACAGTTATTTCTCCACATTACTGTTTATACACTGGCTCTCTAATATACTCGTAGGTCTAAGCCACTGTCACCAGAAACTCACACACTGGGAAAGGCTGCATAAAAAAAGGGGCTGTTTAGGTTCTGCATACTGATATCCCTAAAAAACAAGCCCACAAGTGAAAAAAGTGTGATAAAAATGGGAAAAGAAGAAGTAGGAGGAGTTTCGCAGGCCCTTGTAAAAGGAACACTGTCACATAAACAATACAGAGTCAAAGGGAGGCCCACCTGCCACAGAGGGGCGCTGGGAGCGGCCAGCGGGGCGTGGAGTATTTGCACACAGCCCCAGCGGGCATTCAGGAATGAATCGAGCTCAGGGCAAACGACTTCATGTCTGTCTGGGGTGAGGATTTTAGCTGGCAGTGCCAGCTCCGGTACCTGCCGCACTGCGGGACACCTGGTCGCTGATGTACATCAGGCAGTAGGCGCTGGCGTTCTTCACGCCTCCGAAGGAGTCTCTCTCCAGCTCTTCCCAGGACGACTCCGTCACGGAGATGTCGTTGTATTTCAGCCAGCTTTTCCGAGGCTGGTCGTATATGAAGGCCCAGTAGTGACCGGCGTTGGCTTGCCCTTGATGCACCAAGACGGCGTGCAAGTGGTAGGGAACCTGCGAGTTCACAGGGCACGGCTTTCAGATGGACCTGCAGTTAATGACTGGGACCTCTCTACAAATCTGCGTATCTGTCCCCCGCTGTGGGCTGGGACAGGACTCTTAACTCACACAGTACCTCCTCTACTTGTGAGAACTAACTTGCAAGGGGAAAAAGCAACAAGATTTTCAGGCAGATGTTTCTGCTTCATCACTGGGATTTTTAAAATGCAATAAAGTGGACAGCTTAAACTCACAGCTACTCACAAACCCAAATATCAGCAATTTAATATTTACCTCATGAAGCTGCATCTCTTACCTGTTGGAGGAGAGGGTCACAGTACATTTGTTCAATGGACAGGTTGATTCGGGCAATAGACTCATTCAGATCTGCCAAGAACGTTGAGAATGAGAGAAATGCATAAAAATTAATGACTCCTCAGCCGGCCACTCTGGCCCCTTGTGCTTCACAAAGTTTGAAGCTGTGCAATAACTGCGAAACACGCTTCACACCAGAGCCGAAACATGGACGAGATCAGTTGGGGGGTCAGGATGAGCACAGCTGAGGCAAGAGGCAACAGGCTGAGGAAATCAGGCTGGCATTCAACAGAGAAATCACAACAGATTTGGGACCAACCTTGTACATCTTGTTCGATCTCGTTCCTCCATCGCTGCAGACACGTCTGGACGAGGTTCAGCTCTTCCTCGGACACCACGTGAGGAGCTGGACGTTCCAACACCTCTGCTGATGAGTGAGAGGGCTGGAAAGGCGCACTTGGTGTGTGCTGCGGCGAGGAATTCCCCGGGAAGAAAGCCCTATCTTCAGTCCCAGCATCCTTCCTTTCCGGTGTGCTGTGGAGCAAAAGCCAAGAGCAGTGGACAGCTTTTTCAATCTTTCTTTTTTTTTTTCTGGTATGGAACTCCATGTGCACAGCTCCAAAAGCAGCAGTCCTAATAACTCCTTCCCACACTCGTGTATTTACTGAGCTCAATTTAGAGCATCAACCAACCGTGCTGGCCAGGTTTGTAGTCATTTACCAGTCGATGAAGCAAAAATATTAGTAGCCGAATGAAAAGGAGCAGATAACTTAACTCAGAATTACTGCTTAGACCAGGAATAGGGTGATGCTTTTGGAAAAGGAGCAGCAGGCTGGACGCAGTGTGATGCTCACACACGCAGGCAGGCCCCAGGTAGGAGCACAGTGGTGGGCGGGTGCCGGCAGAGGCGTTCGCAGGTCGCGGCACCACGCTCACAAGGGCCCGGATAAAGAGCCTGCTTGCGGAGCGCAGGCCCCGAGCACGTTGTGGGAGGCGAAGCCTCCTCCCGTGGATGACGTGTGTTTCTGTTTACTAACCTGTTCGGCCGAAGGTCTGTGACGTGGGGCTCGGCCTGGGGCTGCGGGGGAGTCGTGCGAGAGCCCCGAGCAGCAGGAGCAGCTCCAGGGGGCTTCGTGGTGACGAACTCGAGCACAGACTGGAGCATGTCGGGCAGCGGGAAGCGGGCGGGGCCGGAGCCGTACTTCAGGTACCTATGGAGGAGCCGAGACGCCGCGTTGAGGGAGGGACGGGCGGTGCCGTGAAACCCAAGGAGACAACAGCAGAACACCAGGGAGAACTCCCGGGTCAGGACAGAGACGGTTCAAGCAGGGGAGGAAGGAAGAAGGGGAAGAACCCCAGTGATGCACAGGGACTCAACTCCCCACCTCCCACCTTGCGAGCCCTGAGGGATGTGGGGCCATGCCCAGCAGCAGCCGAAACCCTGGTGTGATATCAGCACCCTTCCAGGCACAAAACCCACGTGGCTGCTGTGGAGACAGCAAACTCCAGCCCAGCCAGGCCCTGCAGGATGCTACACATGGGCTGAAATACAAACTGTGTTTTCACAGCACCCAGCACCAGAAGGAAGTTTAATGCCGACTGAAAAAGACATTTACACAAAGCACCCAGAACGTGAAATCTGGTTGCGCATAAACGAGATCTTGCCAATTGTTCTCCTCCCTTCCCCAAGTAAACAATGCCAAACTCTAAGCCAGAGCGGACCTCTGCTATAAAAAATAACATAGGTTCTTTTTAATGCGTGACTGGGCTTCCTCATGGAACCTTGCCAATGCAGCCAGACAGCAACAACCATGCTGTTTGAAGAATGCAGTCTTTTAACAGCATCAGTAACGTCCAGAAACCATCAAAGCCAGGAGTTTGCTTTTAAAAAGCACACTTCCTCACTCCACGCTTCTCAGAACAAACCCGGTTCCGTTTCTGCTTTCCCTCCAAGTTTCCCTGTTTTTGGAAAATGCCTTTTAAAGGAAGCATTTCACACATCCACAGGGAACAGAAGTGAAGCTGGCTGACTATTGACCTTTCCAGTTGCTGCTGCAGAAGCACCATTTTCTCCCTCAACCTCTTCATTTCTTCCCTCTTCATCTGAATAAGCTCTTTACTGCAGTAGAGGTACCTAAACAAAAAATACAGAGGATTTGTTTACTTCCAGCACCCACAACGTTTCACAGATATTTTAGAATCCTTCCTTTTGCTCACTCGTACAACTGTTCTGTTTTCTTTAACTGCAAGCAAGCCATAGCTTCCAACGTCCCGTACAACAGAACAACTCACCTGTCCATGTAAATAGTCTGGGGAAATTCCAGCCTGGTGTGAATTTTCTCTGGCTGTCCTAGTGACTGATTGAACTCAAATCGGGAGAGTTCAAAGGTCAGCACCGGCGGCAGTTTGGTAAACCAGCGCTGCAACAACAGCAGAAACGCCCCCGAAGGGACTTGGTTTAAGAGGGCTGTGAAATGGCACATTTCAGACTCTTCCTAAATGATTTCAGAACGATCCCAAATGTCAGTCTCTTTGTCTTTAAATCCTGAGTTAGAATCTATCTTGTTTGCAGAGTGACTAATCACCAAGCCAAATTTTACGAGACTAAAATTTCTGCTTCCATTTTAGGTTTTTACTGTGAAAAAGCCTCGTAACAGCTTTCAGAATGTCAGTTCTCACTGCCTGATGCACCCAGTGTGACAGATTATTAACGGGTCCAGCACCACACCTTACAAAACCAGCAGACGCCACACAAACTCTGCTTGTCAGCTGAGAGCCTCCAAGAGAGTTCTCGTGCAATGCAGATCACATGCAATGATGAAGAACAGTACCCAAGCCCCCAGGCAGTACCCGTCTCCTCATCCTCTCTTAGCCTAAGTCCAAGCTAGTCGGTGTAGTAGATTCGGAGAA